ACCGGACTAGAAGACCTCCAAGGCTCCTTCCCACTCCATTATTCTATTATCTTAAAGTCGCCAAGAGGGAGAAACCCTGGGCTAATCTCTTTGAAGACTGCAATGGGAATTGACATTCCCTCCTCTGGGCTTTTCCTCATTCCACAGCCCCCACTGAGTTTTCCAGATTTGGGGGGCCCTTACCTGAATTCCCACTAGGAGCCAAGGCTGTTTCTGGGGCCAGCAGAGCCTTGAAATAGAGAAGGAGGCTGAGACCAAAAGCCAGGACCGTTGCTGCAAAGGCCAGCTGCAGGATGTGATCGTAGATGTAGCTCAGGCGCAACCCGCCAGCCAGTCCGGCAGCCAACATCAGCGCTGTAACCAACATGGCGTAGAAACCTACCCAAAATGAAAAAGCAAGAAGGGGGATTTGTATCCCAAATGAGATCCACGGCTCAGGAGTTCTCTCTGGGAACTCTAAAAACTGAACTAGGCAAAGAATTGACGGAATCATCGTCTTCTTTGAACAAGTTCATAATCTTTTGTGGGGTGGAGTTGGGACAACTGAATGGAGCTGGGTGTTTGTTTACTGGTTATATGGCTATAACTGTGTTGCTTGTATCTTTACAATTCTTATTGTTTTATTTGTTCCGTAGTATGATTTGATAGCTTATTACGGTAGTAACCTATGACTATCACTAAGTGTTGTATCTTAAATTCTTGATAAATGTATTTTTATTTTTTCTTTGTCTACACTGAGAGCACATGCACCAAAGACAAATTCCTTGTGTGCCCAATCACACTTGGCCAATTAAGAATTCTATTCTGTTCTATTCTATTCTATTCTGTTCTGTTCTGTTCTGTTCTATTCTATTCTATTCTATTCTATTCTATTCTTCTATTCTATTCTATTCTATTCTATTCTATTCTATTCTATTCTATTCTATTCTATTCTATTCTATTCTATTTATTCTATTCCTTCCAATATTTATTCTGCTCTGCTCTGCTCTATTCTACTCTACTCTACTCTACTCTATACTCTACTCTATTCTGTTCTCATTTCCATTTATTCTATTCTATTCTATTCTATTCTATTCTATTCTATTCTATTCTATTCTATTCTATTCTATTCTATTCTATTCTGTTCTGTTCTGTTCTGTTCTGTTCTCATTTCCATTTATTCTATTCTATTCTTTTTACTCTAAGTTCTATTCTATTCTTATTCTATTCTTTTTCACTGTCCCAAAATATCTACCATTAATGCGATATTGCAGCCGGCTCTTGTCCCGAAGAAGGCTTCCTTCCGTGATCTGTGGGGGAATAAAATAAAATAAAATTAGAAAAAAAAACAAACCCAGAATTTCCGTAAGATCTTTGAAGCAGTCCATCTGGTCAGACAAAACAAGGAATTAATACCCACCCAAATGGGCACTTGATGAAAAGATTCGTCTAAACACTTGCAGCAATTTATTTAACAACCGTAGCAGAAGAGGGTTGTAAAACGGGGAACAAATTTAATGACGTTGCTTAGCTACAGAAATCTTGTTTAGTCTTGCTTAGCAACAGAAATTCTGCTCTCCATTGCGGTCGTAAGTTGAGGACCATCTGTCATAATGAAAACTTTCTCTTATATACCACAGGTGGTAATATGAGCCCAATATCTAGTTACATTTCCAGCACTTAGTGGAGATATCCTTAAACATCTCTGCTCATCTTTCAGGCAGAAAATGCCATCTATAAAACATTTTACTTTAGTTTACTTTATTGTCATTGCACCTCGTACAACGAAATTAAATACCATCTTCAGTGTACATGATGACTATGAAAATAAAGCACAAACACCCATCCATCACATTCCATACATTGAATTGAAAACCCCTGATATTGCATTAATATTGCACTAGACAGTGGAATTCAGCAGAGCTCCTGCCCTGGGATAGAAGCTGTTTTTCAGCCTATTTGTCCTTGTTTTTATTATCCTGTACCGTCTGCCAGATAGTAATAGTTCAACATTTTATATAAATTTTATTTGAGCTGTCCAGTCTCTTCTTGAAAACCTCCAGTGATGGAGCACTGACAACGCCTGGAGGCAACTTCAGTTCAGGTGATTAATTGTTCTGTCAGGAAATTTCTCCCAGAAGGAAACCCTTTGCCTTCTTCCAGGATTACATCCCATACAGCTTTTCCTCCCATTATACAGATGAGGAAAACTGAGGCCGAAGCCAACTGGGCAGGCAGGAGCCTTACCTTCCCCATGGGCAGCCGGTAGAGCAGGGCTTGAAATGCCAGCCAGGCCAGGACCAGAGCGAAGTCTTGGGGACTCCAGAGGGAGCGGAGGGAGGGCAGCGCCCAGGGGGGGCTCAGTGCGCTGGCCTGCTCTGTCCTGCAGACCAGGAGTAGGTAGAAGACGGTGCTGGGCATCACAACCATTAGGAGGGCTACCCCTGTAAGGAGGAGGAGGAGAAAGGAGAAAGGAGGAGGAGGAGGTGGTGATGGCGGAGAAGGAGGAGGAGGAGGAGATGGTGGAGAAGGAGGAAGAAGAAGAGGAGGAAGGAGAAGAAGAACCCCCCTTGTTACACAACTCGGCTCAAATCCCTTTCCCACCCCAAAGGCAATCAACACAACAGTCGCTTTGCAGGGTGAGATGGGCGTCCAATCAATGTAATCCATTTAATAAAAGTAAATTTTATAAATAAATAAGTCACCCAGGTTCACTTTGAAGCGTGAGGTGGCTGGCAGATAAATTTCATAAGTCCTTTTTTATATAAATAAAGAAGCTTCAAAGAGACTTCTCGGATAGTCAGATGGGCGGCACATAAATTTAATAAATCAATGATTAAATAAGGAGCGGTACGGTGGCCTGGAGGTGAAGCTCTTGCCTCACAATCAGGAGGCTCGTGAGTTCGATCCTAGGTGGAGGCAGATATTTCTCTCTCTGGGCACAATGGGAATATATCTGCTGAACAAAACTCTGCTCTGGAGATAGGAAGGGCATCCGGCCAGTAAACGTTCAGCTCTGTTCAGGTGCCCAGACTCCACCCCGCAAGGGATTATATGGGGTTGTTAAAAGGAGATAATCAATGAACAAATAAGCTGCCCAGAGTCACTTTGTATGGGGAAAGGGGCTGCGTATCAATGTAATCAATCAATCAATCAATGAAAAGTTATTGGCCACAGACATGTCTTGGGAGCCCCTGAGGCCAGTCCCTCCCTCTCAGCCCCACAGCCAAGCTGGCCCTGTGGAGATGGGGCTCGATTAGAAGCACCGTCATTTTTCAGCCTTTCCCTCTACAGGTTGTCCTCGACTTACAACAGTTCACTTAGTGACCATTCAAAGTTACAACGGTACTGAAAAAGGGGACAGGATCATTTTTCACACTTATGACCATTGCAGCATCCCCATGGTCACGGATGCTTGACATATGACTCACATTTATGATGGACGCAGCGTCCTGGGGTCACGTTCCAAGCCCTTTTCTGACTTTCTGACAGTAATCAATAGGGAAGCCGATATTCACTTAACAACCGTGGGACTCATTGAACAACGGCAGTGGTTTCCTTAACAAATGTGGCAGTTGTAAAATGTGACAAAATTCACTTCACTGTTGTCTCGTTTAGCAACAGAAATGTTGGGCTCAATTGTGGTCAGAAGTTGAGGATTACCTGTACTCTGGTTCCGTGATGGGATTCAAAAACTTTTTACTACTGGTCCTGTGGGTGTGGCTTGGTGGGCATGGCAGGGGAAGGTTACTGCAAAATCTCCATTCCCTCTCCACCCCACTAACCTGCTTTCCAGCTCCGTTCTCCTGTGCAGGGCAACCAAAGGAGACCCAGCCAATCAGTTCGGACTCAATGGGAGGTGGAGAATAGATGGAGGCGGGGCCAGTCAGAGGCGGGATTGGCCGGTTCTCTGAACTACTCAACATTTCCACTACTGGTTCTCCAGAACCGCTCAGAACCGGCTGAATCCCACCTCTGCTCTGGTTCTTAAAGGAGAGAGTAAGAAGGGATAATAAAACTTGAGAACTGGAGATGTCAAAGCTCTGGGCTCCCCACCCCAATTTTTCCTCCTCCTTACCAAATACACCCCCAAATTCCAGTTCTTTTGTCCGGGGAACCTTCAGCCGATCCATTTTCCTTCTGAGCTCAGATCCCGAAGCGTCTTCGGTTGGGATTTTTCCACCTATGGAGAACTCCCGCGTCTCTTTTATGCCTTCATCTCCATTAAATAGCCGGGCACCGTCTCAATCTGCAGGAGGAAAAGAAAAAAAAACCCGTTTGGACAAATGGCAGTTTGTGTTCGACAACGCTGGGCCGCAGAGAGAAAGTTGGGAGACCTTGCATATTCCCGCTTTCCAGCTGGCCAAAGGATCCCCTTCCCATTGAAACCCATCTTGGAACCAAACTAAGCGTGGAGAGTAGATTTTATGTCGGCATCATTTTCTCTGTGTGCAGCTGGGCTTGTTTGTAATTCTAGCTGTGTCGCCTTCTTTTTTTAGAAATTAATCACAAAGGGAGCACGCGAAAGTCTCGCACAGGGCTAACAAAGGACAAGCCAAATGGGTCTCTTCCTCCTTACTCTCGTTGGGAATTTTTCACCTCCATTTGGGATTACAGATTAACAGAGTTGGAAGGGACTTTGCAGGTCATCTAGTCCAATCCCCCCACTGCCCAAGCAGGAGACCCTGCACCATTCCTGACAGATGGGAGTCCAGTCTCTTCTTGAAAGCCTCCAGGGATGAAGCTCCCACAACTTCTGAGGGCAAATTCTGTTCCAGGGGTTGATTGTTCTCACTGTCAGAAAATTCCTCCTTATTTCCAAGTTGAATCTCTCTTTGTTCAGTTTCCATCCATTATTCCTTGTTTGGCCCTCAAGTGTTTTGGAAAATAGCTTGACCCCCTTCCTCCTCTCTGGGGCAGCCCCTCAAATATGGGGCGGCTTCTCTCCTGTCTCCCCTGGTCCTTCTCTTCCCTAGACTAGCCCAGTTCCTGCAACCGTTCCTTGTATGTTTCAGCCTCCAGTCCCTAAATCTTCCTGGTTGCTCTTCTCTGTACTTTTTCTAGAGTCTCCACATCTTGTTCACATCTCTTCTTTGTGGCAAGTCCTGAGATATTGGAAGACTGCTATCATGTCACCCCATCCTTCTTTTCTGGCCCCATCTCTGCCTTGGACGCAGGACCCTCATCCACGTCCTCTCCAGACTGGTCCCCATTCTTCCCCACTGTCCGATTCCACTGCCATCTGCACAGGCTGCCAATGAACCACAACAGAAGGAACCTTTGCAGGGCTGGGGTGGGCTGGGCTTGTGAATTCAGACCTTAACACCACAACAGGAAGAGGGGAACACATTTTCACTCTTTTATAAAGATCAGCCTTAACATAAATCATCTCATGCACGGGTACCTGGGGGGTCCTGTTTTGGTGGGACACCCCTCCCTCCATGGCGGATGGGATTCTGTACATCAGAACGCATTGGCGCACCAAAGTGCCTGCGGTGCACACAGCAAGGCCCCCTTCTGAAGCTTGCAGCTTGCATGCAAGGGTGCAGGACATGCAAGCGGGAAAGCAGGAGGTATCCCTCACAGGAAGCAGGCATCGTATCCGTGCTGCTGGAAGCCCCACTGCAGGATTTGATTGACAGGATTAGAACCCCTGGATGCCTCCCCCCCCCCACTGAAGACGCCCCGAATGAGCTCCAGGTAAAGCCAAGGGATAAAAACGAGAGTGATTTCTGGCCTGGCAGGAAAAGGACGCTGCATTCCGGGGACCCAAAGGATTCCCTCTTGAATCTTCCAGATTCACACGATTCACTCCTGGGACCTCCCTTTTTCAGAGGAATCCTCCTGTGTTTTCTTCAGCAACCTGCCCCAGTGAGGATGGAGCCCCCCCCCCCATGTCTCCCCTTAGGGAGGGCTCACCTATGCGAGAATGCGAGGAGGCGCACCTGTCCACAGAACACCTGGCGAGAGAGCCTGACAGCTGGCCTCCCCGCCCTCTGCCGATGCTTGCCTTAGGCAAGGAGAGCCAATCACCTCCCAAGGAGGGAATGACATCACGGAGCAAAGAGCCAATCCAGGTGGCAGGAGGGCCCCAGATTGCTTTTCAGTTCTTCTGGGGGAGGGAGGGAAGAAAAATATGAAGGGAATTAGGTAGAAGAAAATAGGAATGATAGAGGAATTAGGGGGAAGTAAATGGAAGGAAGGAAGGAAGGAAGGAAGGAAGGAAGGAAGGAAGGAAGGAAGGAAGGAAGGAAGGAAGGAAGGAAGGAAAAGAAAGAAAGAAAGGAAGGAAGGAAGGAAGGGAAAGAAAGAAGCTAGAGAAGGAAGGAAGGAAGGAAGGAAGGAAGGAAGGAAGGAAGGAAGGAAGAAAGAAAGAAAGAAAGAAAGAAAGAAAGAAAGAAAGAAAGAAAGAAAGAAAGAAAGAAAGAAAGAAAAGGCTGGAAAGAAGGGAGGGAGGGAGGGAAAGAAAGAAGCTAGAGAAGGAAGGATGGAAGGAAGGGAGAAAGAAAGAAAAGAACAAGGAAGGAAGGAAGGAAGAAAAAAGAAAGAAAAAGCTGGAAAGAAGGGAGGAAGGATGGAAGGGAGAAAGAAAGAAAGAAAGAAAGAAAGAAAGAAAGAAAGAAAGAAAGAAAGAAAGAAAGAAAGAAAGAAAGAAAAAGAAAGAAAGAAACAAGGAAGGAAGGAAGGAAGGAAGGAAGGAAGGAAGGAAGGAAGGAAGGAAGGAAGGAAGAAAGAAAAGGTTGGAAAGAAGGGAGGAAGGAAGGGAAAGAAAGAAGCTAGAGAAGGAAGGAAGGAAGGAAGGAAGGAAGGAAGGAAGGAAGAAAGGAAGAAAGAAAGAAAGAGAAAGAAAGAAAGAAAGAAAGAAAGAAAGAAAGAAAAAAGAAAAGGCTGGAAAGAAGGGAGGAAGGAAGGGAAAGAAAGAAGCTAGAAAAGGAAGGATGGAAGGAAGGGAGAAAGAAAGAAAGAAAGGAACAAGGAAGGAAGGAAGGAAGGAAAGTCTGGAAAGAAGGGAAGGAGGAAGGGAAAGAAAGAAGCTAGAAAAGGAAGGAATGAAGGAAGAAAGAAAGAAAGAACGAAAGAAAGAAAGGAGGAAGGGAGGGAAAGAAAGAAGCTAGAGAAGGAAGGAAGGAAGAAAGAAAGAAAAGAAGAAGGAAGGAAGGAAAAATATGAAGGAATTAGGTAGAAGAAAATAGGAATGAGGGAGAAATTAGGGGGAACAAAATGGAAGGAAGGAAGGAAAGGAAGAAGGAGGGAAGGAAGGCTGGGACGAATGGGAAAAAGAAGGAAGCAAGGGAAGGAAGGAAGCTAGAGAAAGAAGGAGGGCAGGCAAAAAAGAAGGAAAAAGAAAAGGAAGGAAGGAATGCTGGAAAAGACCAGAAGAAGGAAGGAAGGAAATTAAAAGAAGGCAGGAAGGAAAAGGGAGGGAAGGGAGAAGGAGAGGAGGGGGGAAGAAAGGAAAGTGGGGAGCGAAGGCAGGAAAAATAGAGAAAGAAGTGAAGGGGAGGAACGAGAGAGGAGATAAAACCCCAAAAGTTGCTCCCAAAGCCTACAATTTATCCCTTAGCCTCAGATGTGCCCAAGAAAAGAAAAATGGCCCCCCAATATCAGCAGAGTACAGTTCTCCCCCCCCCCCCAAGAAAGACACATATTAATGTAATTTGGTCACTGAAAGCTGCAGGGGGAATTCTGGGAGTTGAAGTCCACACGTTGCCAAGGTTGAGAAATACTGGTAAGTCTCTCTCTCTCTCTCTCTCCTAATTGGTGGGAAAAAATACTCCCGCCTCATGTTAAAGCAATAATTGGCCAGGCCTCTCAACCAATAACAAGGCAGGGGTCCTTATTTCCGGCTCCTACCACCTACTTCCGTTTTCCTACAGGTCTGGCGGGTAAGGATTGCTTGTTTCGTTCATGCTCAATCCATTAATAATCTTAATTATCTTTTTGTCATCCGTGTTTATTATAACTTCGGAAATAGTTTAGCCAACTTAAGGAAGAAGTCCCCATCAACAGGTTATCGGATTATTAAACGCTTTGTTTATTTTTAAGCCATGATTCCATCGGGGGTTTGTTCCATGCGGGGCGCCTGGAATGATTATGCTGGCTTTCTTAAAACCCAGGAATTTATGCTGAAATAAGCCCAAATTCTACATCAAAGCCCTAGATGACAAACAAAACCAACTTTCAATTAAACAATTTTGATTATTTAATAAGTAAATATTATATATCATGTGTTTATCGTATGGCATTTGCTATAATGTATCGGAAAATCTAGACTTCATTCAATTTTTAAAATTAACCTAAAAACCTGGACAGGGATTTTTAAAAATCCGATTTAAAACCCCAGTTTTGGTATTTGTATGTTTTAAATCAGATGAGGCACCTTTTAATTCTGCTTCCTTGTTTGTGATGTGTAGCTTTGTAAAATATAATGGTATTGTGATTTATTTTTTATCTATTGCAGATATTTTTACAAGCAAGACAATTGTGTTCCCCCAAAGACCTCATGTGCAAACTCAGAAATTTCATTAGATTGGAGTTTATAGTCCAATAACCCCATTTTAGGCTTCATAATTAGAATCCAAAACTACCGGATTCTTCAAACCGTAAATGAAATCTTGAGACATAAACCAGCACAGGGCAGTCAAACAGCAATTTTAAAAGCTAAAGAGAATATAAAATGCATAGTTAACAAAACTAAAATAAAGATAAAAATCTATAGGAAGGGATAAGTAAATATATAAACATAAAAATTAATACCTGTCAAATTGAATTGTAATAATATATAGGATAATATGTACAAAAACACAGTTAACAAAACTGAAATAAATATAAAAAGCAAATGTATAGGAAGGAATAGGTAAGCATAAACATAAAACGTACTATATGGCAAACTAATGTACAATTGTAACAGGATAATTATAAAATATACAGTTAACGAAATATATGGCAAACTAAATTGTAATACTGTAATATATAGGATAATATATACTTATGTACCGAGGTTACATATAAAGATTATAAAACATAAGACAGTCTAATATATGTTTAATGTAATAAACCCTTTTTTCAATCATGTTACTGGGGATAATATTAAAGTAGTAAAATGAATACAGTAATGCAGTACAAAATGATAATTGTTTTGCTGGGAAATCTGAGATATATTACAGGGCTGCTCTTAAACCCATTTTCCTTTCTTTTTTTACAGCCTGAAAATGGTTTGTCTCTTTTTGAAACTCTCCTTGTGGGGGTCAGTTGTGTCCCTTTACAGAAAACTAGCATCCTCTGGATCTGCAAACCAAGATTTCTGTATTTCTCATCTATTTGGGTAAGGCTGGGGGTGAGGGGAAATTCTGTGCTTTTAATTTTATGAACTTTATGGAAAGATACATTGTGCTTCTAAGTGCAATGTTTTTCAAGCTTGGTGACTTTAAAATGGGTGGACTTCAACTCCCAGAATTCCCCAGCTACCATGCTTTAAGGCACCGTTGGGCCGCGGCCCACCTGTGGTCCGTGAGAAAATTTTGGTGGGACGCAGAGAAATCTCACCCCCAGAGCAATTTATCCAGACTGCGGGGGGAACACAATGCTACGCCGCCCACATGGCCCATGGGAACCCTCCCTGCCCACTCACTCCTTACCTGGCAAACTTGCCTGCTAAATTGCTATTTTTCCGGCCATCAGCTGTTCTGCTGTGCCAGGAGATTTAGATTAGCTAGGAAGCAGGAAATGGCTGGATTTCTTGCTTTCTAGCTCGTCTTTAGATCTTTGGCTCTGCTTTTAAGCACAACCGAACCTCCCTTAGGACTGAAGTTTCTATTATTCAATGCAGACTCACAGCAAGCAAATTTTATGTGACAGACTGAGCTAGCCGAAGGCAGATAGATAGATCACTGAATGATTCTGTGAGCAACTCAATGTGCCTGCCTGCTTTGCCTGATTTTTGGTAAAAATGGCTTTTTTTAAGTAAAAAATTATATATTTACATACATGGTGTGTTGTGAGTTAATTTTGTGAGTTTGCTTGCAAGCAAATTTTATATGACTGAGCTAGCCGATGGCAGATAGATCTCTGAATGAATCTGATTCTGTGAGCAACTCAATCTGCCTGCCTGCTTTGCCTGATTTTGGGTAAAAGTTGCTCTTTTTTAATTAAAAAAATTCAATATTTATATAAATATTTATAATATTTACATACAAGCCATCCCCAGCCAGTCACATGACCATTAGGCCACGCCCACAGAACCAGTTAGTGGTCCCTGGGATTTAAAATTATGAGTTTGGTGGTCCCTGAGGTCCAAAAGGTTGGTGACCCCTCCTTTAAGATACATGGACTTCAACCCCCAGAATATGACTTGATTGGGGAATTCTGGGAGTTGAAGTCCATGTATTTTGAAGCGTGCTGGCTGGAGAATTCTAGGAGTTGAAGCCCACCCAACTTAAAAGTCACCCAAGGTGAAAAACACTAAAGAATAAAACCAGGCACCTCGCTTTACATTATATGAAATTCACTTTTATTTTTAATCGTGATATTGCCAGATGCAATAAACGATCTTATAATAGGTGGAAAGGCTTATTAAGATTACTTACTTGGGGAAAAAATAATTCTAAACAATCTGTGACTCCAGGAGTCCTTGTTTGAGAGAATACAAATAGTCCTATACTTGCAAGGGCAATTAAGCCCAGAATTTATTTTGGTAAGCGAGACAGTTATGTGAGTTTTGCCTGATTTTATGACCTTTCTTGCCACAGTTAAGTGAATCTGGCTTCCCCATTGATTTGGCTTGTCAAATGGTCACAAAAGGGGATCACATGACCTTGGGACACTGCAACCGTCATAAATACCAGGCATGATATTTTTCCGATTAAAATCGGGATTCCGATTTTTTTGGGAATCGCCCGGGCGGTGCGAGGTGCGCGCGGCGGGCGGGCAGGCGATTTCTTGGCGCGCGGTGGGGGGTCTCTTTTGGCCGGCCCCGATTTTTTTTTCAGAGGGGAATATCATGCCTGTAAATACATGTCAGTTGGCAAGTGTCCAAATTTTGATCATGTCACGGATTACAATGGTCGTAAGTGCGAGAAACAGTCAAGTCACTTTTTTAAGGGTTGTTGTAACTTTGAACGGTCACTCTACAAAGGATTGTAAGTTAAGGACCACCTGTAGGATAAACAAAATTACAGCCTCAACTTCTTACTTAGTAAATTCTGTAATGAGGGGACACGGTGGCTCAATGGCTAAGACGCTGAGCTTGTCGATCAGAAAGGTTGGCAGTTCGCCGGTTCGAATCCCTAGCGCCGCAGAATGGAGTGAGCTCCTATTCCTTGTCCCAGTTTCTGCCAACCTAGCAGTTTGAAAGCATATTTTAAAAAATTCAAGTAGGAAAATAGGGACCACTTTGGTGGGAAGGGAACAGCGTTCTGTGCGCCTTCAGTGTTTAGTAATGCCAGCCACATGACCACAGGGATGTCTTCGGACAGCGCTGGCTCTTCGGCTCTGTCACGGAGACGAGCACCTCCCCCTAGAGTCGGAAACAACTAGCACGGATGGGCGAGGGGAACCTTTACCATTAAATTCTGTAATAAATTAACCAAATTAGAAAAACACAAAGCAGAATGTTGCAGTTTTTTTCTCCTGACTTGAGTGGCATATTGTTCTAAAAAAGAATCAGTATCAAGATCCTAAATGAGTGAACGTATTTTCTGATAACCGATCTTTTCTTTAAAGCTTGAGTGCCGCAGGATCTTGAAGGGAGCAGCTGCATCGCAAGATGCCCTGAAGGAATTCTGGAAGTCCCCGACCCTTCGGGAGTTCGGTATAGTTGGTATGAAGAGAATGGGAAAAGGTATCTTGATTTTTTTTAACTTGGTTTCTGGTTTTTTTTTTTAATTTGGAAATATTAATAGGATTTTCAATAGTCTGCTATGATGAACTGCATGTTCTGTCCGTGTTTCACCTGATAAACCATGATTAGAAACATGCCCTGAGCAGAGCCTCTGCACACAGCTGTCTTGACGGGGATGATGTTTAGCTCTTGAACGCATCCCTCTTAAGTGAAACAAATTACAGGTAATCCTCAATTTTCAATAGTTCATTTAGTGGCCGTTCAAAGTTACAACGGCACTGAAAAAAGTGAGACCTGTCAGAGCATTTGTAGCGTGACTGTTATGAGACAACCCAGGAGCAAAACACAGCACACAAGAGATCTAGACATTTAACAGTGCTTTATATACAGGACATATACAGAAATATAGGTGGTAGACAAATAATCTGCAAGCAATCAGTCTTCTTAACTCTACACGGAGAACTCTGCAATGGATACAGGACACAAGGAGAGAGAAATACGCCCTCTAATGGCTGCCTTTATATAGACACCTCTTATTATTATAAATAAACTTTATAATTATAGAACTAAAACATCAAACAAACACATACACAACACACAGAAAAAAAGAAAAAGGAAAAAAAATGATTAAAAACTAACAATTCTATCGACAGTCTATGGTTCCTTGTTTGTTATCAATATTAGTGATATATTTACAAATACATCTTATTGCGAATATATAATTACTACCTCTTACATTTTACGTTGTTTACTAATATATTTTCTATATTTGTTCTATCCAGTCATACCAGCCTTCCCAGCTTCTATAATATTCTGATGTTTCTTTTTCCTTAAGTGCTAAGGTTAACTTATCCATCTCTGCATAGGCTGTTATCTTCTGAATAACCATTTCCTCTGTTGGGATATCTGCTTGTTTCCAACACTGTGCAAAGGTTATTCTAGCTGCAGTAAGAATGTGCAGTATGATATATTTGACTTTTTTAGGAATTTGTCTATTAAATACCCCCAATAAGAAGAACTCTGGTTTTAATTCAATTTGCTCCGCCGTTATTTCCTCTGACCATTTTTTTATTCGCCCATATCTCGTCACCGGAGGTCCTATATAGCAGTGATCCCCAACCTTTCTTATGCCGCGGCCCGGTATCCCCAACTTTTTTTATGGCGCGGCCCGGTACCGGCATCAGCTGGGCGCCGCCATCTTTTTTTGATGAAAAAGTGCTTCCGGTGAGCTTTCTACCCGGAAAAGCTCACCGGAAGCACTTTTTCATCAAAAAAAGATGGCGGCGCCCAGCAAACCAGCGGCCCGGTAGGACTTGTTCCGCGGAGTGGTGGTTGGGGACCCCTGCTATATAGGCACCTCTTAAAAGGGTAAAGACTTCTGTGAATCTATTCTTCATCTTAAAAGGGCAATATCCATGCTATGCTGATTCATCCTTATTGCATCAGCCTTCTATTGCAGCAGCTGGCAGCTATTAAATCTTATACCTCAACAAGACCATTTTTCACACAACCTTTGTAGCATCCCCATGGTAACCTGATCAAAATCCAGATGCTTGTCAACTGATTCATATTTATGACCTTCCCAGCTGGTTTCCAACCAGTGAAGTCTGTGGGGGAAGCGAGATTCGCTTAACAATTGCATGATTCGCTTAACGACTGTGGCAAAAGAGTCATAAAATGGGGCAAAACTCAACAGTTGCTGTAAGCACTGGACTTTTTCCCTTCAACCGAAAAGAATGAACTTCGGGAAATAAGCATTTCAAAAGGAATTCTTTATTGAAAGGGAGTGATCCCAGCACTAGTCAAAGCAGAGTCTAAATGCTCCCAGGCGTGCAGTAATAGATAAGGGGAGTTAGGACCTCTCCCCTTGTTTAGCTGTGTATTTTGTCAAACAAAGAACCAACTTGTTAATTCCCCCCTCCCCTTCTCTGAGAACGTATCTTTTGAAGAGTTCCCAGGGAGTATCTTCCGGAGCTGGAATTTTTATGGTCCCTTCTCTGCTTGCTGTCTCTTCAAGAGGTGGCAAATTTCTGGACATCTGGCTCCAATCCTCCAGTTGTATATCGTGTAGTTTATACAGATTCAATATAAGATTTAATATATTCAGGTTACATCAAAAAGGATTACTTGTACCAACTCCCCCCTCCCCCCTTCTTCTTCCATTGAAGAATGGCAGATACATGGATCTGACAGTTGCCTTGTTTAGTGACAAATTTTGGGCTCAATTGTGGTCATAACTCAAGGACTAATTTTGTACCCATGACCCAACGTTGGTTTTGCAGTATGGAAACAAAATTGAAAATAAAATTGAAAATAAAATTCTCATTTAAAATTGAAAGTGTTTCATTCTGAACTGCCTTTGATAATAAAAGATGAAGAGAAGAATGGTTTCTGTATTACAGATTGTTTTTTTACTGCCAGTAGATCAAAGTATTTGGTTGCTAACTCAAGAATTATTGGGGTTTGTTTTGCTTTTTTACAGGATTGAAGATTTCTGCAAGAATTGGGTGAAAACCATCAATTCCCCCCCCCCACTTTGAAAAGGTGTGTATGGATGCTTTTTTCCTAGTTAATAGGAGACACAAGACTGTATCTAAAGAAGAGGCTGTTGAAGGTCATTTTCATCGCCTTCTCAGGCTCACAATCTAAGAAGGCACACTGGGGGAGAGGGAGAGAAGAGAGGCGTGATGGGTACCAGCATTTAAGCGGTCAAAGGGTTTTATAAATGCTTGAATGATGACTGTTCCTCTCACTGCTGCAAGCCTCCAACAGTGGGATTTTATGTCATCAAATACTAACATGACTTTTCTTCACTCAAAAGTGTCTTTAGATGGGTTGGCCATCTGTGACACGGTTGAACTTTTGCGGGGTCGCACATTCTAAAGAGCAACAAATGTGACTTTGGAAGCTTTGAAGATCCTGGCTGTTCTCATTTTTTGTGGTCTCCTATTGCATTGTAGTCTCCTGTGATACAGATTTTTCTTTGTTCTAATTCAATAATTTTCTTATGTAACATTTTGTAAAATTCTTGTTGGTTTTCATTGGGTGTATGGATTACTAATAATATATGATTTGAGGGCTATCTATGCTTCCATCATCAAAATTCTTCCGTTGGGATCTGCAAAAATTTCGCTTGTATCTCCTCTTTAATATATATGGCTATTCCTTTCTCTCAGGACTGCCATTCACAGATGACAGCCTCTTGCGTGCCGGGCTCGAAGGTTTCCTCTTTGTCGCGAGGGCGATTGCCCTCCGCTGCTTCGCTCCTAAGAATATCCTCACACTGTCATGATTCTCCGGGATTTGCATTCCCCACAGGATCGTTCCAGCACCAAGGAAAGGGGATGAAGAAACAAGCCCATTCTTCATCTCTTCTATTTGTCCCGACATCACTACCAGAAGTCCAATCCACACCAATCGTCGTCACGCATTGATATGGCCTGGATGGGAGGAGAAATAAGAGAGGAAGTGGAAAGCATAGAAATTTTACCAAATTGTTGGGCCAACCATAACCCACTTAAAATAAGCTGGAGAAAGAAGACAAGATGTAGATGGACTCTAAACACACAAATATTAGAAGAGACCGAATTTGTTCAGAAATTAAGAGAAGAACTAACATATTTTTTCAAGGAGAATAATAGACAACACACTTCGACACAGAATTTATGGGATACCATGAAAGCAGTTACTCGGGGAACATAATATATACAGCAAAAAGAAACCAAGAAAAATCTGCTCAACAAAATAAGTTGCAGGAAAAAGACAAATTCAAATTCAAAACTATAGGCCAATATCATTACTAAATGTCGACTATAAAATATTCACAACCATCATAGCGAATAGACTGAAGAGTCTTCTGAATGAATACATTCACTCAGACCAAAATGGATTTCTGCCAGGCAGACAAATTAGGAACAATTTGAAGACAGTAATAGATATTTTAGAATATTATGATGCCCACCCGGAGAAACAAGTATCACTTGTCTTTCTGGATGCTCAGAAAGCATTTGATAAATTCATGATACAGCAAATTTATAATATGAATTTAGGAACTAAATTTGAGCACATAATAACAATATACTCCAATCAGAAGGCAAATATAGTGAATGGTGAAATTACCCAGAGTTTAGAAATAAGAAAAGGAGTCAGACAAGGTTGCCCACTCTTTCCTCTGCTTTTTATACTATCACTTGAAACTTTACTTAGACGAATTAGGCAAAATCCGGAAATAAAAGGACTAAAAGTCAGGAAAGAAGAATACAAATCACAAGCTTTCGCAGACATATCGTAATTTGTATTCTTCTTTATTAAAGACCCGATAGAAACAGTAAAGGAGCTAATTAGCAAATTAGAAAGATGGGGAAATAGCAGGTCTGAAAATTAATAGACAGAAAATGAAGCTCTTGTCTAAAAATTTAACAGAATCACAAATAGAATAATGGGACTACAAACAATAAAATTAAATAGGTATATGGCTGACCACACAATGTAAAATAATAAAGGAGAATAATTATGATAAATTATTACAACAAACAAAAAAAGATTTGGAATTATGGGCTAAATTGCAATTATCTTTACTGGGAAGAGTAGCATCCATAAAAATGTCTATCCAAATTTTTATATTTATTTCAAATGATCCCTATTACACTAGAGAAATCTTTTTTTTAATGAACTCAATAAAATTGCTCTGATGTTTAATTTGGTTAAGCAAAAAACCTAGAATAAAGATAAAATCATTACAGAATGTAAAAATCAGAGGATTGTTGGGTCTTCCAAATTGGGAGTTATATTACAGCGCAGCAGTGTTAATCTGGACAAAAGATTGGATCTATTTAACCAATAAAAGAATACTAAGTGGAAGGCCACGACCTGCAAAGAGGATTTAAGGATTTTGGAATATATTTGAAACCACAGCAACTAGATAAAATTTTAATAGGCCCAGACAAAAAAATATTACAAAAATTTATAAGTACTCGTTGGAGGTGGATTTAGAGGAAGAGATTGTGAAGGGATGCATGATAGCGTGGGCTCAAAACATAAATTTGACAGAATGGGAAAGCATGTGGAATCGAAATTATAAAATTGGCCTCATACAAAGAGGATGCCTACAACATGTTTTATAGATGGTATTTGCCTTCTTCGAGATTAGCAAAGGTGTATCCTAATAGGAATCCGATATGTTGGAAATGCAAGAAGAAAGATACATTCTATCATGTGGTCATGCCCAGAGACTCAAAAATATTGGCTTAAAATAAAAAAAAATGGTTGCAAGAGATTACTAAAGTACAAATAGAATTAGAACCGGAATTATTTTTATTGGGGATATTTAAGAAGAAATATGGGATAAATATAAAATATATATTACATATCCTGACGGCAGCCCGAATTGCTTATGCCCAATGCTGGAAACACTCATCTATACCTCCACATTATTATTCAAAATTATTCAGAATAATAATGGTTATTCAACAAGAGTGTTGGGTTTACCTGAAATGCATCTTCTAGTTGTACGGGAGGAGAATCCAAAGCGTGGGCTGTCTCCTGCTTCCTTGCTTAAAGACGGAGCCAATCAAAGTTTAGTCCAGCCCCCTTTCCACTGTGCATGCCCAGTTTTTGATGAAGGCTGATGATTGACTTGGAGAGTTCTTGGTGCTCGCTCTTGACCGTTCTGAGCTCGTGACTGACTAAGGGTGGGATTTGGATTCTTCTCCCGTACAGCTAGAAGATGCGTTTCAGGTAAGCCCAACGCTCTTTCTCAGTTCTATGGGTCGGAGAATCCAAAGCGTGGGACGTACCAAAGCTAATTGTCCTGAGGGCGGGCCAACTCCTTGTCCCGAGCCCCCATCTCCATGTGAACTCTTTGTGGCACTCTTCTTCCAAAGGATGCTTCCGCTGATGCAAACGTATCCAGTTTATAATTTCTCATGAATGGAGATGGCAATGACCATGTTGCTGCCCTACAGATCTCTTCAATCGAGGCCTGTGTCTTCCATGCCGCTGATGTGGCTGCACTCCTGGTTGAATGTGCCGTAATGTTACCTGGCAGTTGCAATGATTGGCTTTTATAAGCTTTTGTGATACATGTCCTGATCCATCTGCCTATGGTAGATGGTGAAACCCTTTGTCCCAACGAACTCGGTCTAAATGAAACGAACAATGCTTCTGTTTTTCTAAGGGGCCTTGTCCTCTTAATATAAATGTGTATAGCTCTCCTAACATCCAAGGAATACCACTTCCTTTCTAGGCTATGGACCGGTTCCAGGCAGAAGTCTGGAACGTAGAATTGATCTTTGGGATAAAGGTTGGGTCTAATCTTAATACTACCCTGTTGGGGTGAACTATACAGAGGTCCTCATGGATAATGTTGCCAACTCTGATACTCTTCTGGCTGATGTAATGGCTATTAGGAAGGCCACCTTAAGGGTGAGTGAGGATAGTCCTGACCTCAGTGGTTCAAAGGGCTCAGTCATGAGCGCCCTTAGCACCTTTGTCAAGTCCCAAGTAGGGTACCTGTGTATTACTGGTGGCTTTAGATTAGTTGCTCCCCTGATGAACGTGCGGATTAGGGGGTGTTGTGAGAGGGACTCCGAGGTCCCGCAACCCAACACCAAAGCTATCACTGCTACTTGCCTCCTTAAGGTGTTAGGGGTTAAACCCTTCTCTAGGCCTTCCTGGAGAAAATCCAGCACTTGAGTAACCAACACTGTGGTTGGATCTATTTGTTTCTTGGAACACCAGGTTCCAAATGCTCTCCAAGTAGCATCATAAATTCTGTTGGTTGATGGTCTCCTGGATGCCTGGAGTGTCTGTATTACCTTGTCTGAACACTAAACACTTTAGCGTGGTCCTCTCAAGTGCCATACGGTTAGTTGAAGCCATTGTGGCTCTGGGTGTCGTATGGCTCCCTGACTCAGTTCTACCTTGTCTGGGGGAATTCTCCATGGTCTGGATACCGACAGATCTACCAGATCCGCCTACCAACACCTCCCAGGCCAGAGAGGTGCTATCATTAAGACGTCCACTCCCTCTTATATCACTTTCTTGATTACCCTTGGTATCAAGGGGAGTGGGGGAAATGCGTGGAGCAAACCCCTTGGCCAGTACCCCCTCTGCCTGTTGATATGAGCCTTGGTGGTCATGTCTGTCAGGATTGACACATGCTGTCCCACTATCACTGACCTGAAGGCCCTTAGAGCCAGGTGAGATGCCCTGAGCTCCAACCAGTTGATGTTCTTGAGGTCTGACTGAGACCACTGACCCTGTGTAATCTGGCTCTGACAGTGGACTCCCTAGCCGACTAAACTTGCATCTGTTGTGATAGTTGGGTGTGTTATGATATGTACAGAATAACCCATGTGTAACAAGGATATGCACATGAAAATGTTTATGAGATAGTTATGAATAATTATTCAGCCACACAGAGATACACTACATTGAGTTTACTTTAAGAAATAGCACAGTCCAATAAACAGTCCAGGTCATATACGTTTTACAGTCCAAAGAATATCCAATTACAAAGTCTTCTTACCGGTTGCCTTTGTCATTTTCAGTAAACAAAAATATCAAAGTATAAGCACAGCATAAATACAACAGAGAATCTTAGATAGCAACAGAATGTCAGACAAACAGAATGTCAGAGAGAGCACGCTATGATCTCTAGCTCCCTCTTATGGTAATTTGCAATATAATCAACCAATCGGAATATAGTATAAATCAATACAGTGATTTTGTCTTAAAGCTACAAACATAGATTGTTGGTTTATATATTGCCAACCCAACTACTTGGTGGACAGATTCCTGACAGGGTGGGTTCCTTGAACCCACATCCCCTCGTCACTGCGGGTGATCCCCACTAGAGTGACTGCTTCACTCTGGGGGGGACTCGTACCTTGGTTCCCGTATTGCCGTTGCCTGCTCTCTGGTAAGGTAATAGGAACCACTGCAATGTCCTTGCGTGCAGCCTGGCCCAAGGTACTATCGAGATGCATGTTGTCATCTTCCCTAAT